GGGTGCCTGGCCAGCCTGGGTGAGGGGCTGATGGCTGTTTTCAGGCTGGCCACACCCCCTTTAGGGTGGGGGTGCCCACTGGGGTGCCCGGCCAGTCTGGATGAGGGGCTGAGGGTTTTCAGGCTGGCCAAGCCCGTGGGCAACTGAAGCTCCCAGCCTCTCCTTTTTTCTTTCTTTTTTTTTTATTCTGGGATTTATTTACCTTCTATAATTGAAACTTTGTTGCCGCTCTAGCTCCGACGCCATGGCCTGCTGAAAGCAGGTATCTGGGGTTTGTTTAGCTTCTATAATTGCAACTTTGATGCTTACGGAGCTCAGAGCTGGGCCGCGGCAGGCGGGGAACCTTGGCTTCCTCCTTCACTGGAGCAAGCAAGCCTCCTGTTCGCTTCAGCTGCGTGGCTGCCGGCCGCCATCTTTTTTGGCGGTTAATTTGCATATCGCCCTGATTAGCCAATGGGAAGTGTAGCGGAGGTACGGTTAATTTCAATCTTTGTCTATTATTAGATAGGATAGATTATATCACTTTCCATGCAAACAACTGTAAACCTACTTTTGCTCCACTCTGTACTTATTTTTAAAAATCCTACCCAAGGATATGTTTTACTGATTTTTAGAGAGAGAGAGAGAGAGGGCGAGAGAGAGAGAGAGAGAGAGAGAGAGAGAGAAACATTGATGTGAGAGAGAAACATCAATCAAAACAAGCCCAAATGTACCCTGACTAGAGATTGAACCTGCAACCTAGCTATGTGCCAAGACCAAGAATCAAACCCCAACCAACTGAGCCACCTGGCAGGGTGCCACCCTGTATTTTCTAATGCTGGAGCTTATTCTTCCTTTGCCTTATCATGTTGTTATAGGTTCAAGGGAGAATAAATTCATTAATAATTTTATGTTGTGATGTATACAGCTATTTGGGTATATGGTTGATGGCAATTACCACTTTGACATTGATATTTACATTTCTGCATATGTAAAACATGAAATCCCCCATATGTGAAATTGCATGGAATTCTAAGCCATCTATTTGTAGTATGTACACAAACAATTTTCCTGGTTATTCAGAAAACCAAATTTTCTTTAATAAATGTTTATGCTCTATACATATTAGTTTCTTAATAAGAAAAGTTTTTACTTGAGGCTGGCTCAAGTAGGGTGGGGCAAAAGTAGGTTTACAGTTGTGAGTGCACAAAACAAGTTTATTCTTATATTATTATTTATTAATTATTGTATTATTAGTGAGACCATGAGAATAGATGAGATTATGCATAAAGAGTACATAGGAAAGAGGTAGTAAACTAGTAGACAGTGAACCAATTTATAGATAGTTTGTTTGGCCATCAGAGTATTTAAACATATCTGAATTATTAGTTTCTAATATTTAAAAATTGGTAGAGTAGAAATAAAAATTTAGATTTTCAGCTTTCATGAAAAACATTCATAATGAGACAATCGTAGTCCAGTATTCTTGCATGGTAGTAAGTAATCAACTGGAAATGAGTAACAGCTATCCTTTAGTAGGTGGGTAATGTGTTATCCAGTTTAGCACAGCTTTTATTCAGCCTATTTAACTTGTTTGCAATATCTTCCTTGCTCCTGTGGGCCCTTGAATTCATGACCACATCTATACTAATAATATACAAATATGTAAATTGACCATCCCTCCACGATGCCCACAGCCAATCAGGAGTGAGTATGCAAATTAACCCAACAAAGATGGTGGGCCTGTAGGCAGCGTGCATGTGTGCAGGCGCCCAGTGGCTGGGGGCGGGGTGGGACGCCCGCCTGCTTGCCGCGTAGCCAGAACTACGCTGCGGGCATCCCCGGGAACCCGCTCGCTCCGAGCCTGTGGCCAGCGTGCGTGCACACTGGTGCCGAGTGGCTGGGGTCCCGGGGATGCCACTGGAGTGTCCGGTCCTGTCACCCTGGCCTGGGGGCGGCTGGAGTTCCCAGTCCTTTTGGTTTCTGCAGTCCCTGGACTGGAAGCGGAAACCAAGAGCGCAGGGAGCACTAGGAATGCTTGGAATCATAGTTCTGCCGGCAGATGCATTGCGAGATCTCCTAGACTAGTGGTCGGCAAACTGCAGCTCGCGAGCCACATGCAGCTCTTTGGCCCCTTGAGTGTGGCTCTTCCACAAAATACCAACTTCTG